TACCCCTGTAAACAGATGTTTGTATACACACCATGGTGTTAGCTTTCATTTATTGCTTTCAAGCAAACTAAAATCATGTGTTCAAGAAGTTCTGCACCTTCTTCGGCAAAAAAAAAAAGTGTCATGTAATGGAAAAAAACATGTCATAAAATTCGATTTTGATCAGACTAGTGTATTTAATTACATTTAGATTAATAGCGGTAATTATCGTGAACAATCTTAATTAAGAAGAATGCAAATAAAAAGTATACTAGCTAGTTGTATTGCACATATCAAAATAACTAAAGACTTGTTACACACAGCAAAATGTTACAGAGCACTTTGAAATCACTTTGCTACAATCTTGTAATACTTTTAATTATTCCTATCAGGAATTAATTCATACAAATTTATTTTGTTACTATAATCAATAACAATTAGATTTAAAACTATGTGTTTTTTTTTACTGGCAGCATATTACTTTCTTCCTTCGCCTCTTTGGCTCTATTCATTCTCTCTCTCTCACCACTCCTACTCTTCTCCCCTTTTCGTTGAACTCCTGTCTTTTATATTCTTTTCTCAAATCCACACCAAGGTTCTCTTCTTTTTTACCTTGCACAGTTAACTCCTCATATTGGACTAGTAAAGTATCCGGCATTGCTTGGATGAAAATGGCTTTGAATATCCTTGATTAAATGGTGATTTTTTGCAAAAAATTAATGAAAAAATCTGCAAAAAAAATTAAAATTTCTAAAGCTATTTTAATAAAATCAAAATCGGATGCATTTCTCCTGTTTTTTGCATGTGCTTTGCACGAGGTTTCAATTCCCAAAACAAGATTCCCCTACCTTTTGATACCCTGATTCCTACTAAGTGGTCAAGTGTCGTTTGCAGCGTATTTATTATCCGATATCAAACGTTTTTGTAAAGTCATCGTATAGCTGATTCTTACGAGTACATGCAAGCAAATCAAAAGATTTGGTGAAGCAGGCCTTCTTAGTTGAGAGAGTGTGTGTGCGCGTGTTCGAGAGAAAGCACCAGCCTTTCTCAGTTAAGGGGGGTTAGAGAGTTGGCATGTATGTGTAGAAGAAAGAGAGAGGGAGAAAAAGACCAGAAATGAAGGCTACACGAAGTTTTTAAATCGTTTTAACACTTAAGTGTTCATGGATAGAATGATTAGGAGAAGTCTTCACACAGAGAAAAAACGTAAATAATAGCTCTCTTGATGACACATTTCCAAAAAAAATCCGGTCTTTTCAACTTGAGACCATTTGGTCGTCCTGTTTGGTCACTTTGGCTTTAATTTCCGACCTCATAACGGCCTCTGAGGCCACGGCAACATAGCTCATGTTACTTTCCGCACAAAGTTGTATCTGTACCCGAGTTTTGAGATTTTAGCTTTAAAGATGTGGCCGTGCATAAGGAACAGGCCCACAGAGAAAGCGAGAGACATTCGTATTTATATATATGTATATATTAGATCGTCATATAATCATAGCGGGTCTCCTAATTTCCACAGTGGCTGAATAAGAAAAGGGGCCACTCACTCTAATAATCTTTCAATGACTTAAAATGCTGTAATCCTCTAATCTCTTAGGAACTGACCAAAAGCCGGCCGATTTCTCACCTCTCTCTCTCAACTCCGACCGATATTCTTTACACCTAACTTAATAACACATAGTAAATGAATAAACTATGTAACACAAACACACACTGAAGAACAGCTTGTGATACATTAAATAAAATAAATTGTCAGCCCCTATTACCTAATGAAGTAGATGAATGCTTTATGTTGCACATAGCAAAACAGGTGAACAGTCTGTGTTACACATAATAAAGGAGGTGACCAGACTGTGTTATCAATCAAAAAAGGATTAACAGCCTATGTTATACGTAACAAAGAGATTAATAGCCTGTGCTGTATAAATCAAATAAATTTAAAACATATGTTACATGTAACAAAATAACTAAAAAAATCTCGCCTATGAATAAATTGAACAAAATATACAAAAAGATTTAAATTCTATTTAATAGCACTGAGTGTATTAAAATATTGTGAGTATACATGTGATAATTAACGGTAAAACACTGAGTGTATTAAAACATTGTGAGTACATACATGATGATTAGGGGTAGCTGCTGTTCATAAATTCTACAAATAAGTAACTTAACAATAAAACTCAGTTTAAGAACAGAGATGAGCAGGTTGTTTATACAGAAAAAAAATTACACAACTTGCATTATATACAAAAAGATAAACAACTTGTATTATATACAAAAAGATAAACAACTTGTATTAAAACACAACAATAACAAAAAAATGTAAGGACAGGCGATATCTTAGCCAGAGATAATGAACAGAAAACAAACCTCTATATACTTTTATATGTTGATAGTGTTTTCAGTAACAGAAGTCTACACATCATCATGCCTGTATTATATTTACCTATGTATTTATATGCTTTGTAACTAATAACTTCACTTTTTTATCTCTTTACTACAATATGTTACAGTATAATATCAGGTTAATATTTACTAGCAGAGACCCGCAAAACATTTCCAGCCAAATTAGTATCTTTATCGTAACAGTATTTCTTTAAATATAAC